GTTTTCAAAAGCAGGTAAAACTGGCCTAGGTTAAAGGTTTATTTTTTAATTTATGTCTTACTCCAAGGTCAAGGGCAAAGGGTTATATTAAAGGTACCTAGCGGAAAGCTGTGTCAAAAAAACTCTAAGTAATACTAAAGCCCTTGCACCAAATTTTCAATAATTAGTTGAAAGTTTTTGAAAAGTGGATCAACTTCAATGTCAAGGTTTAAAGGTCAACTTGTTGGTATCCAAAGAAAGGGCTTGTCACAAGGAATAAACCTGTGAAATATGAAAGTTCAAGTACTAAATGTTCGAAATACCTGTACAAGGTTAGAGTTTTTTTTTTAAAAAAGTAGATCAAGGTCAAAACTAATAATATTTTGACATGGAAAGACCCTATAACAATGAATACACAAGTGAAGTATGAAATTCCTAGCACCAACTGTTCAAAAGTTAAGGCCATGGTTAAAGTTAGCTGCAGATCTGTAGCTCTCCGAAAATTATATATTGATAGACCGGAGAGCTACAGATCTGCAGCTAGGTTAAAGTTTGATAAATTCGTGCAAAAGCAGGTCAAATTTTTATGTCAAGATCAAGAGATAAAATGATATATTGGTACCAAAAGTTAGTTCGTGTTACAAGGAATGCACATGCGGAATATGAAATTTACAGCTTTAACATTTCCAACCTTATGGGCAATGTTTTTGGAGACAGACGGGCGGACAGGGTAAAATTTAATACCCCAAATCTTCAATTAAGGGGGCATGAAAATTGTCCTTTCATTTTTAGGTCATACTAGAAAGACCTACCTTTTTGACAGATAACCTACATGTACCTTATGTAGTATATTTAGACAGTTATCATTTTCTTAAACAGAAAGATAAATTTCCATCAAGTTTTGTAAAATTAAAAAATTATAATAATCTTTAAACAAGAAATTCAACAAGAATCAACGTTTTCAAACATGTCAAATGTGGAAATAATTGAAATCGTTTACATCACTAATTATAAAAAAAGAGAAGGAACGGTTTCAGCACATATACCAGGCACTGTAAAATATAATATAGTTGTGCGAAATTAAAACTCATGTATCTGAACATTTTGTGGACCCGTTTCTTCCTGAAAATTTAAGATAGCATTAACGGCTATGAAACTTTTTCCAAAAAACATGTCCCCCTTTAATGAGTATTATTTGAGGTTTTGAAAAGATTTCATATTTCAAAAACCACTTGATTTATGCCAGATATTTCTTTCCTGATTTATCACTTTTATTATCCAATTCGTATATAGGTAGTATAAAACACCCGTAGATTCTATTTTAACTCAATTCTTAAAAAGTACTGAAGAAAAAAGAATAATATTACATGTACTATATTGACAAGAATGAATGACCCCCGTAAGAAAAATAAGTTTTGGCATGTTTGCGTCATATGTTTTGAAAAAATAAGAGATTCCTATATGTTGGTCACTTGGAAGCTACCATTTTGGAATGTGTTTTTGCTGTCTAAGTGGAGTAAAATGCTGCTTAACTTTAGTTCCATAAATAGCAGAGGGTTAATATTTGGACACCTATATAAGGAGTCTCCATTCTTTATGTCAGGTCAAGGTTTTATCAAGAAGTCAAAGATCAAATATTGTGACGTCATCTACTGAATCTTTTAGTTTTTTTTTTTTGCCATTGATTTTTTTTAATCGCCAAAATATCTGAAACCACTGCTTCAATTTTCTTTATTTTTACACATTTTATTCTGGGACTGTTATTTTTTTTTGCAAAAATTGAATAATAAATTTTTTCTTAAGAAAACGTAAAGTGTAGGATACATGTATTTACATGTGAATTTTCAATTCTGACACTATGTATATTCTATGTTTACTTAATATACTGACACGCAAAAGAAACGCAACCCTATTTAAATACGATTATTTTTTACTTTTTATGATTTATTGTCAGCAATTTTTAATCAAGGGATTTCGTACACATTTTCAAGCAATGTTATGGTTGATTGAACTCGGTGACACTACACGTTTTCGTGTCAGCGAGGCATCGATAAATACCCCGATTAGCACGTGCACGGATACACGCGACTGTATTTCGTGCGTCTTTCACATTTTTGTTATTCTTCAGGTATCTGGTAAGAATAGTTCGACATTAAAATTTGTTTTTTGGACTGCAATAAGTATGCCATGCGCGTAATAGGGCAGTACAGTTACTGATGGCTGGAAACACCCAAAGGGATGTTGCAAGAATACTGAATGTCCACAAAAGCACAATATCTCGTCTGTACAAACGCCTAAAACAAACTGGCAGCACTTGCGCAACCGGTTTAAAACTGCACAAAAAACTCCAAATGAGACACCTGGGACGCATAAACCAAGAATAAGTCGAGATACTGTGCTTAGGCGTCTTCGCTCATATGGAATTAGGCCGTGTCGCGTTGCAGTGGAAATGCCTCTTAATCGTCATCGGCGTGACGTCAGACTACAATGGTTGCATCGACACCGTCCAACTGCGTTTTCTATGCAAAGATGGCGCCGTGTACTCTTCACTGACGAGTCAAAATTCACGCTTTACCGCTCAGATGGGCGTCAGCGTGTTTTTAGACGACGCGGTGAACATTATGCCAACAACTGCATGGTGGAATGTGACAGGTTCGGTGGTGGAAGCGTTATGGTGTAGGGCGGGATCTGCTGTGGTCGCAAAACCCGCTTAGTATTCAGTGAAGGCAGTTTGACAGCTCAGCGGTACATTGACACTGTTCTGCAACCTGTGGTCATTCCGTTTGTCCACCAGCATAACCTTATCTTCCAACAAGACAATGCAAGGTGTCATGTAGCACGCCGTTCACTTGATTTTCTTCAACAAAACAATGTCGAAACGTTACCTTGGCCCCCATACAGTCCTGATTTGTCGCCTATTGAGCATGTGTGGGACATGTTGGATCGACGCATTCGAACGCGCCAAAATCCACCAGAAACCCTACCCGCTTTGCGTCAAGCTCTTCTGGAAGAGTGGCAGAACATTCCTATGACACAAATCAACCGTGTAACAAACTCTATGCATCGCAGAATTCGAGCAGCAACAAATGCTAATGGAGGGCATATTCGATATTAAACCTGGAAAAGTTCAATTGTTACCACCTCTACATCCTTGACTTTTTTTGCTAGAGTGGTGGTAGATAAGTCATAACTTGATGCACTTATTAGTAGAGCAGATGTGTATCTTCTATACGATGTAAACATTAAACCATATATTTATACGAAATATTAAAAATTCTATCGATTTGGAGGTTGCGTTTCTTTTGCGTGTCAGTATATTTTACTCAAATGGTCAAGTTTCAACATGACATACTGAGTTCAAGTTATCTTAAATATAAATTATTACACAAATTTGCAATAGATCAACTGAAAACTCTAAAATAATTAAGGCTCATTCTCAAGTCGAGTGTCTGATTTCACAAACTTCTTATAGGGGTCTGATAGGCCATATTTCAGACTATGTGGGCAACAAATGTGAAGTTGAATTTCTTTCATATAATATATATAAGGAGAGATTTTGTATCCCAGAACAAAATATAAAAAAAATCAGCAACAAGAGGCCTATGGGCCACATCGCTCACCTGAGCACTGTGGCTAGGAAAAAAGTAGAAATTGGTTTATTATTGTAAAGTTTAAATCCAAAGTAGTCCCATGACCAATCATGGATGTGCTATTCTTGAGAAGAAGATTTTTAGAGAATTTTCCTATATATTTCTATGTAAAACTTTGGTCGGCCATTCTGGTCCCGCCCTACCCCCGGGGGTCATGATTTGAACAAACTTGAATCTACACTACCTGAGGATGCTTCCATTTAAATATGATGAATTATGGCTTTGCTATTCTTGAGAAGAAGATTTTTAAAGAATTTTCCTAGATATTTCTATGCAAAACTTTGGTCGGCCATTTTGGCCCCGCCCTACCCCCGGGGGTCATGATTTCATCAAACTTGAATCTACACTACCTGAGGATGTTTCCCCATAAGTTTCATCTTTCCTGGCACAGTGGTTCTTGAGAAGAAGATTTTTAAAATATGCCACCAAATTTTCATTAATTCCCAATTATCTTCCCTTGAATGAGGACTTGGCCCTTCATTTGAACAAACTTGAATTCCCTTCACCCAAGGATGCTTTGTGGCAAGTTATGTTGAAATTGGCCCAGCGGTTCTTGAGAAGAAGTCGAAAATGTGAACAGTTTACAGACAGCTAGACAGACGGACGGACAGCTAGAAGGACGCCGGACAAAATGTGATCAGAAAAGCGCACTTAATTGAGCCTTCGTATCAGGTGAGCTAAAAATGAATTTTAGGAAAAATTTGGCCTATCTATTGTGTCCTACCTTAATTAAAGCAATTTGAACACTTCAAATAACATCAAATTTTAAGAAATTGATAAAGCCAAGCTGCGACGTCTTCCTAGCTTGACGTTATAAAAATGAATTAACTCAGTGAAACAAACATTTTTGCTATTTTAAGATTTATAATTCGTAGTAAAATGAATATAATTAATATTTTAGCATCGTTAAAAGTTTACATTTTTTAATTCCTATTGTCGATACAATAGGCTTGTCAACTAATACAATGTACCATTCAGTCCAATTTTGACTTCGATTTCCAAACCAATTGTTAAGTTATTCTTGACACACTGAATTTTCTACGAAATTTTCCATTTGTCCGATCATAACAAGGATCACACAGCGGGTGTGAATGGTGTTGGCAGGGGATGCTTACTCCCCACTTGCACCTGATTCCATCTCTGATTTTTAGATATCTGCGTTTGTTCTGCTGTCGATTTGTATTATATTTTTTTTCAAAGGACTTTTGAGCATGACTGCTGTTCACAATCTCCAACAGCAATTTTTTTGTGTTTGCTTGTTATGAGTAATGTAAACTAAAAATTTCTAAACTATTTTCTAAATACTTCAGTACTTTATGGGGCCTTTGTATTTCATGCACAAACTTACCTATATATGTACTGCTTTACATGCATGTACTGCATTACGAATTAGGTTATCAATCTAGTTGCCTTGCTTTGGTGCGTTGGACGACAAGCAAACCATTTTCCCCAATATGATTTTCCGTGTTTGTGTTTTGATTCTTTTCTCCTCCATTCATCTCTGTGTGTGCATGGAGGATCGACTTCAATATCTGGAAAGACTAATCGTGCAACTGCAGGAAAATCAACAAATATGGAAAAAGAGATGGTTACAGTCAGTCAAGAAAACGCGAAATTGAGAGAAATTGTTGAAGACTTAGAAACTCGTTTGAATTCCCAAGAAAACAGAATAAGAATATTGGAAAATGGTATTGAAGAATGTCAAGGCAATAATAAGGACTTAAACAAACATTCGAATAAAACTAAAATAATGAAGACATCAGAAGAAACAAACTTAAAAATCCCAACTAATCCACCCGAGAGGCAATCCAACAGTCTGAAGCGCAGCACTGATGGCAGATCGAAACATCCAAAAACAAATCCAACAATCCGCGGTAAGAAAAGAATATTATTTGTAGAATTGATATTTAATTTAAAAATAAACAACATTCAAAACAGACAATTTAGAGAGGGAATTAAAATGCCTAAAAAGTACATTCAAAACTCTGTTTTATGTTCTTACAAATACATGTACATGTAAGTTAAAGTGTTTAATTCTTGTATTTTTGGACGCAATTTTAACTCTGTTTTCATTTAGATTAATATTGAAAAAAATACAAGAATGTATTTCTCGCAGGCTGATCTTCACCTGTCTAATAATTATTTGAAGTAATAATTCATGAAATATGGAGATAACGAACGGTATCCAAGCTCAAAAGTCTAACGAATATATACTCACCGTCAATGAAAACGCGACACTCTAATTTTAGGGTAAAAAGTATATAAGGGTTATAACTATGTACCAAAAAAAGTTAGGACATCTTTTACTTTGCCAAATAAGTTATTTAACGGTTGAATGAATTTCTTTCCTCTACAGGAAGTTGCTTTTTAGCACTCTTAACAGGAATCGAATTTTTGCATTTTTGATAAAATTTTTAACAATATTTTGGGTTTTCAAGTTTTTGTAGCTGTTTATCATAAGTATTGTACTAAAATCCCGGGGAAAAAATCCTTCTTTCTTTACCGGATGTGATGCCCATATTTCCTCAAAATGACTTATTTTCATTGCTAATGCTGGAGATTCTCAAAATAAAGAAAAAAAGAGCTGCAGATGCAAATTTACACTATTTAACGACTCATTAGGCTCATGTGTTTCAATAGCATAAATAATAGTTTCTTGACCGGAAGTCCAAGAATTAATACACTACGCCAAGTTAGAGAAAATTCGACCGCAGTATCTGAACAACAGGCAATTAAAAATGCCCAAGAATATTTATTTTGCTCAGATAAAGACACTGGTAGAAATCGGACTGCGTACATGTATGTTGTACATGGCGGACTACTGTGGAGTCGTCAATTCCGGGTCATGCGCGGATCTAGAGGGGGGGTCAGGGGGTCCGGACCCTCCCTGAAATGTACCAGGTTAAAAAATGTATATACTATAACAAGAAAACAGTTACCATGGACCCCCCCTGGAAAACTCAGACCCCCCCTGGTAAGCGTGAACATGTGTGAAGTGGGAAAGATAAGTGAAAGATTTGAAGCAATATAGAATATAGAAGTCACCACTCACTACCCCCCCCCCTCCCCCCACGAAATAGGTTTTTGACGTTTGCGCTATTTTACGTTTTTTTTTTTTTTTTTTTTTTTTGTCAAGAAATTTCTGGGATTGGAATTTTTTTTGGACTGAGGTGGACCCCCCCTGGAAAAAATTTCTGGATCCGCGCCTGCGGGTCGTCTCCTATTCCGGGTCACTCGCGTGTATTTTATGCCTAGTGTTAAAATTTCAGCGCAAAAAATTTAATGAATACGTGAAGAACTGGTCTTTCTGTATGTAATTAATTACAAAATTTTGAATATCAACTTTAAGAGAGCATCCGACAATCGAAATTCTGAAACGCACGCATTAAAGACTTGGATGTTTCTGCTGCGGTGACGGGCTACTATGGAACGCCGTCACTGCCTTATAGCAGAACACTACTACTGCATTGTGTCAACCTTCCATTACATTATGTCAACTCTTTATGACATTAACCCACCCTACTATTGAATTGTGCCAACCTTCCATTACATTATGTCAACTCTTTATGACATTAACCCACACTACTATTGCATTGTGTCAACCTTCCATTACATTATGTCAACTCTTTATGACATTAATCCACCCTACTATTGCATTGTGCCAACCTTCCATTACATTATGTCAACTCTTTATGACATTAACCCACACTATATACTATTGCATCGTGTTAACTTTCATTTACATTATATCAACTCTTTATGACATTTACACATACTACAATTTTATTTCGTCAACTTGCATTTCGTTATGTTTACTTTTCATGACAATCTTAGTTTTTATTAACTGATGTGAAAAGCTCATGCCATACTGTGCGCACTCTTCTACATTATGTCGATTCACTGTTACGTTATGCGAACGCGGGTATCCTCGGCCTTTATATGAGCATAACTTATTTTCCGCGTTCCGCAAGCACTAAAATGGCGGGAGAGAAAACTGTCGTAGAAGAGATTCTCAGCGATTTCGGAATGACATCTTTAAATGAAAACTTTAAGCGACAAATGATTGACAATCTTGAAACATGCAAAGCCTTAACACTGCGACTGTGAATTAAAGTCACGTCGAAATTCAATGGTGTTTACTTTAATCTGATAATTAAATAAATAAAATATTATGAGTCGTACAGCAATCATTTTTTACTTTTTATTTTGAATTGGTTTCTTTTTTTTTTTATAAAAGTCTTAAACTTTGTAGGACTTTGCATTAGTTTCACATTAAGTTTAGCTGAATTAAGTTGAAAACTTTTTTCTATAAAACTATAAAGCATGAGAGCTTCTCCGCTTTCCGCCCTTGGTCCCCAACCATATACCGCCCCCTTCCTCGTTCAAGATTCCCATATCTGCCACTGATATGTGCCCATGCATGCTTACTAAGGCATATTCAATTGATATAGATGAGCAACTGGTAGATTTTTGTAATAGAATTCTGGCCCTGGAATGATTAAAAAAAATTACTAACTCCAGTGACGTAGCATCATTTTTTTTGAAAGAGGAGGTCAGCCAGTAAAAAAAATCATTTATCCGAAAAAACTACACAAGCCAAGAAAAAAATGTCCAAGCACGAAAATCCTATTTCGGGGAGAGTGGTCCAACTTCAATCAATCCTATTTTTTTCCAGATATATTATATTACCTTTAGTGGACTATATTTCAACAAGAAGTGGGGGTGGGGGCTGTACAGTTTCAATGAACATTACATTTTCTATAGTAAAGTTATGTCTGGGAAAAGAGGGGGGTTGATATTATGTGCCTGTAATTTGTCCTAATCAATCACGACCCCCCCCCCCTTCTTACCAGTCATTAAAACACGGTCGTCAACATTCATTATATACTAGATATACAGCTTTGAGATAATGTAAATGTATTTTTGCATCAGGTAATGAACTTGGAATCCACATGATAAAGAGTTAACACAATATAAAGATATTTTTAAATCACATAAGAAAGAGTTGGCATAACGTTATAATATATCCACATCACGGTATGGAGTTTTGACATAATGTAATAAAGTGTTGATATAATATAAAGATATGTTCACATTATGTTATACACTTTTTACACCACGTAATAAAGCACTGACATAAAGGTAAGATGTGTTCACCTCACATCATGATGCCCTCGCCGTAAAATAAAGATAAATCCATATCACGTAATAATGCTTTGATATAATAGAAATATACACTCTCAAAAAGGAATGGGCTTTTGACTTCATGTGATGATAAGTTTAATTATAAAACACAATTTACTTGACGTAATGCAATTTTGACCTCACATATTAAAAAAATGAAATGATGTAAAGAAACATTCATTTCACGTAATAAAGTTTCAACACAATGTAAACACATTATCACTTCACATAATGAATTTTTTACTTCAAGTTATGAAGTGCTGACATAATGAAAGGATGTATTTACTTCATGTAATACAGCATTGACATGATGTTAAGATATATTTTCATCATCCCATAAAAAATGGACATAACGTAAAGATATGTTCACATCACGTAATGATAAATTGACGTAATAAATGCATAGTTGTATGCTATAAGGCAGTGATGGCGTTCCATAGGCTACTTTCGTTTTTGTTCGCTGCAGAAAGGCTGATATAAAAGTTCTACATAAATAATAAGAGCTCGAAAGTATGGCAAATGCATTTAGTTTTAACTCAGAAATCAATCATAAGGATCGCTGCTCAAATAAAATTATAATGATTATTAAATCAAACTGTAGTAGTTTCTCCAATTGCGGGTCACGCAATCTCGTGGCATGAACATCTCAAAATTCTATGTACAAAACCAATCGACAACCATGTATCTACCTTGATTATCAAAAGTTTTCTAACTGGAAAATATTTTCTCTAAAGATTAAAATCGAGTTAACCCTTCAAATGCATTTTCTAAATAAATGAATTTAATTGTTTTATTTTTAATCCTAATACATTTTTTACATTCTGCATGCTGCAATTTGTTTTGTTGTAATTGTTTTAAAAATAATTTAAGCATATTTCTGTGATTGTTTTACTTTTTTTCGAAGCTGCATGAATTGTTTTATGTTTCAACTTCATAAAAATCTTGTTCCGAAACGTACAATGAATATTACACGGGCAGAAGGATAAAACGTACGCTGAACTAGGACCTGAGGTCGTGAAGTCACATATGACCCGGAAATTGAGAAAATGCTTCGTAACTGGGGAAGCTAGGCCTTGCTGAAATACCCCTGTAAATATTGTTCCCGTGTAGCTACTTTGAAAACGAAAAGGTGTTTGGATGACTCTCTATTTGTTCTTTCAATTCATATATTGCATAAAATATTAATTGAACAGATTTGCAAAGTATCAACGAAACACCCTTGACCCGGAATTGGCGACTTCACTGTAGCATGTTTTGATTAAATGGTCGGAAGGGGGGTGGTGTATTATTTAAATGTTATCTGTTAAGAGGGCTAAAAAATCAACTTTCGGTAATGGAATGAAAACCATTCAAACATTAAATAACTGATTTGGCAAAGTAAAAGATGTCCTAACTTGTTTGGCACATAGTTATATCCCGTACCGTAAATCTGGAATTTTTTACGTCGATTTTATTTTGCGAATTCGGGTCAAAATGCTGTTGATTAATTTTTACGTTTCAAAATTTTGCGAATGACCACTGCTTTGTTAACATTTTCTTGTTGGTGATTTATTTTTGAGAAATATATTTTTGCGAATGCAATGAACTCGCAAATTTGCTAAAAATTTATCTACAGCAAAAATTTCCAGATTTACGGTATATAATTTTTCACCCTAAAAGTAGAGTGTTGCGTTTTCATTGACGGTGAGTA